GGTAGGGGGTGGCGGGGCACAAACCCGTGTTCTTTCGTAAATCACCTTGGTCCGTACTAGCTGGGTGGCCGCTGGCCGAAGCAGCAGTGCAGGCAGGGCCTGGGAAGCCAGGGATACAGGGGGTTAGGCCTTGCCTTGTGGGAGGTTGAGGGGTGAAGATGTCAGGTCCCTATTAAACGGCACCTAGAATAGTTAAAGCAGAGATGGGTGGGGGATGCTTGTCAACCTCCTAGGGGTCAATTCAGATGGTAAGAGGGAAGCAGAGGTCTTCAGAGGAGCTCACAGAAGACCCTTGCACTGATTTTTTTTTTAAATGCCTCTGCTTAGGCTGTAGCAGACTGGTTACTTTGGGGAGCATTAGGAACATCAATTGAAAGGGAAGTGCCCAATTCTGGCTGGAATAAGCATGAAAGTCAATGTGGTCTTAGAAAATTTTTGAGGGAAATGTTCTATTTCTAGAACAGATTGAGCCAGCCAATATCTACTGAAATCCTGGCTTTCTAAAGAGAACACTTTTATGAAGCTTATACTATTCTGTGGCCATAACTTTCTCATATAAATGGATAGTTAGAGTAAGGCCGAGTATTCAGTTTGGTCTGATCGGCACGTGGAAGGGACTAAACTGGGGTGCTCCATGAGGTTTCTGTATTTCAGCTGTCAAATTTCACTCAGTCAAGGGGAAACGTTGCTTTCTAATGTTAAGGTTATTTTCTTCATGGAAGAAGTGCTAGCTGCATTGATTGACCATAGCAGATTTCTGATGTCATTTCAAAAATAGTTTTTTGGCACTCCTAAAATCCAAGCCCCCAAGATGCCCATGGAGTAAAGGCACTGCGTATTTGTAGAGAGAAATAGATAAAGGTAACAGGGTACACTTTCAGAGCTGGAGAAATTTAAGTGAGAGATTTAACTTAAGGACAGTGTCTTCCTTTTCTCTTTTGGGTGGTACTGTCAGGCGTTGAGTGCATTAAAGTTATCCAAAAGTATTAAAAGATATTTTTAAAGTTCTGTTTTTGCAAACCATAGCCTCCCCTGGGGAGGAAAAGACTGGTGACTATTGCTTTTTAATTCCAAACTAACACGGAAAATGAGAATTGCTTACAGGAAGCTAAGATTTAGATGTTTAAGAGGTGTCATATGCTAGGAGCTTTGGATCCTGTACTAATAAGATGTATGTCTAAAATTCCAATATTAACTTAAAAATAGTCTGATTGTCTTTGTTTTATTTCCATAAAAGTGCATGAGAACACTGACTTATTTTAATTTATCTGTGTAAGACAGGTCAGTGTCACTGAGGTAGATGTCCAGGCAGGCGGATGAGGGAGTTGCCTGAGGTCACCCAGCAGGCCTACACCAAACCCAGGAATCAAATCCAGGCACTGCAGGTTCTGTCCTCTAGTTGTTCAGCAGCACCACCTATGCCAATCAAATATCCCTATCTTTCATCTTCTGCCCTTTTGTTTTCTGTTGGCTTTCCTTTAGCAAAGGTTATGCCACTTTTCAAGTATAAGTTTATAGAGAATCCATGCACAACAAAATTGTTTAGCCAAGCTTCAGTTGCACTATTCAGTTCTGTAATACAGGTTATTCTTTTGCTGATGAGTTAATGACAAGTTCTTGGCTAAATATCTTTGAAAGTGGAAGCTGTGTTTCCTGATCTTCTGTCAAGTATCTATATTACTACAGTAAGACCTGATGCTAGGGGTGGGACATTGGTAACTACAGCATGTGTGATCCCATAGTTTCAGGCTGTCTCATGATTAATTTGTCAAATTACTAAGCTTCACAAAACTGTACCAATGTTACAGCTTTCCTTAGAGTAGCAGGGAACTAGTGCTGAAGGAGAGCATGGAAGTTGAGACCATAGACTTAAATATGAGAAGCAGTTTCTGCTTAAAACTTTGAGTTCTGTTCCTCAAGCTGAAGCTTGGACAAGTGTGTATTCTAAAACAATTTTCTGTTTGGTGTTAGAAATTTTTTTATGAATTGAAATAACAAAAATTGTCACTGATGGAGTGGCTTTAGGTGTCTATCTTCTGCAGTAATTCCTGACTTCTGCTGAGTTTAACTTCATTTTCCTGAAGCCAGGCTGGTGTATTATTTGGCTCTTCAAAATGCACTGAAAAGACTGAGGTGGGAACAGATACCTATAGAAGTTTCTTCTGGATCCTTTATGTTCCTGATTTGTTGCCTGGTGTTACATGGAATTATCAGCCCGGTCCTGAAGCATCACTTTCATAGTTGTGATAGTAGATTGACAAGAGCATCTTCAGTGGTGTCAAACTGGTGTATGCACTGTCAAAAACTGTGATCCTTACAATCTTCAGTTGCAGTCTGCTTTGGACATAGATTATAGGAAGAAGGACTTGATCATTGATGCTCTTGTGCTCATACTACACATAAATGTGTAATGTCTCACTCTGCCGTGAATATTGTTCTCTGAAGAATGTTCTCCTACAACGCACTGAAATTTCCAACTGATATGCAGTAGCTCACAGTGTTACTGTAGTGTCTTTTGGTAACAGACTAAGAAGGACAATCTCTGTTTGCCCTCTCCCAGGCTGCAGTAGTACGTTTGATGAAATGCCTGAATGCTTTGAAATAGTACTGTATTCTCTCCACTTTCTCATTCAGAGCTGGAGATGGTCTGTAGCTGTGCAAGTCATCACCATTTTTTTCAGATGAATTGTATTCAGTGGCTTTGTGACAGTAGGTGTGGTGATGTTTAGGAATGCTTTATGTTGTAAAGGCTGCATTTTGCTGCTTTATGTGCAGCATTCCTTTTTTCTGGTAGACTCACACCTATTGCTTTTATCACCTTCTGACAGTAGCATGCCAATCTTTGTCTTGTAAAGGAAATACTCTCTTGTAAAACGCAAGTGTGAGTAGCCATGCTTGATTAGATTTCATCCTAAAGCATAGCTTTAGGATGCCCTAGATTGACCTGTGTCATATTTTTCCTGATTTTTGGCAGGTAAGGAGTGAGGAGAATGAAACCATATTTATTCCAGTGCTTCAACAGAGTGGTTAATCCAGTAACAGTGTAAATTGTTAAATGCCTGGGTTTAGGTTAGGAGTACAGCACCGTAGAGATGACAAAATGATTGGTTTCAGATGTGATGCAGATAAGTGTCCTTTAATATTATGAGATTAGCTCAAACTTGTGACTGATGTTCAGAACTACATGTGGTTTCTTGGTACTGTAAAGTGTCCTCTTGAGAGGTTTTAAACTGCATCTAGCATCTTAGGGTCTGCCGCCTTTGTACATTGAAGTAATACCTTCTCTTTCTGTAAAGTCAATATTTTAAATATATCTGACTAATTCAGGCATCCAGAGAGTTTAAAAGTGCGTATCAAATTGGAATCAAGCTATTGTAAAGTTTTTACTAAGGACTCTACTGCTAGGTTTATATTGCTTGGGTACAGAGCTAATAGGTCACTTTCTCTTAAGATGTAGCTAATAGCTTATGAGTAGTATAAAATTGTAGCTGATTTGATTCTTCTGCTTCTTAATATGAAGTTAACAAAGTAAAGAATTAAGGCATTTTTAACAATATGAGCCTGTTCTGCTTAATACTTTGAATGAAGTTTTCAGATTAATTATAGATGTTGAATGAGATTAGTGCTGAAATACCTTGCATATCTGCTTGGTACATTACAGTGCGGTGCAGAAACAACAGAACTGGCTTGTTGACGATTAGTGTGGATACCAGAAGTGTTATGATACTTTGGAATGGTGCTTTGCCCAGACTAATTAGCATTGCATAACATCTGATTATTTACTGCATTCATTTTTCCCCCTCCATGCTGTTGTCTTTAACCATCTCTTGATATGACACAAAACTTCTGTTGTAGAGCACAAGAGCACAAAAACCTCCACATTTGGTTAGGCTGAAGGAGCGTTCAGGCCAGCATGGTTTGGTGACCGTAGCAGATACCTGGGGAGAGTTCTCATAAGCAAGGTAAACTTACAACGATGCTTCCCTAGAAGACTTGCTTCAGTGTTCACCAGTTTACAGCTGAAGGATACTGTGTACCAAAAGTGATATCCGGACATTCATTTCTGTGGTTACTCAGATGTGGTAGTGTTGCTATATATGCTAAGTCTGTATTAGGTTTTGTTTATTTCTTCACCTGTATGCTGAAGTGTTTCTAATTCCAGTCTTACTGGGTGTTTTGCTTTTATGATATATTGCTGAACTTTGACCAAGATAAATACAGTTACTGGGTTTTGTGCAATGCACTATTAAAAATGCATCACATTCAGGATCTTCTATAGCTCTAGTTCCATATTTGTGAACCCTTGCTGCTTATTATGCTCCTGTCAGAGCTGGACAATGCAAATTAATGTGTAGGGATGCCACATTGTCAGCCTCTTTTGCAGATTTTATTTTCTTGTACTTTGGCTGATCTGAAAAAATGCAAACTTTGGAAACTCTGTGAAGCCTTTACCATCTGCATGGGGGTGTCCAGCACTTGTAAGGGCTTTAAGGGTTTCCCAAGGGTGGTATTCTAACTCCTTGCTGTCCTTAACAGTGCTCTCTTGATCTAATACCTTCTAGTAAAGAATCAACACAATGGACTATGCTTCATCTGTTAAATCTTTAGTGTCTGTTATCTGCAATGTTAGGTGGATACCTGTAGTGAAGGTCTTAATGTAAGAGGCAGGCAGTGCTGCAATGTATACTCAATTCTTGTTTCATCTTGCTTTAGGATCAGGGCAGAACTAGGCAGTATATACTGTAGTGTGCAAGGAGGAGGGCAGGAGTAGTTGCCTGTTAGTCATAGTAAATGTCTGGAGAGAGACTTGAGAGAGCCTCAGGATATGG